AAGATTTCATTTATTTTTACAATTATACGCATACACCGAGAGATCGATCGAGAACAGAAAAACAGAAAATTTATAATTTAATTAAAAAATGTTTGTATTTACAATTATTGTGGTCCAAATATTTTACATATAGTATTGGGATTTTCTTAACATCCAATCACATTTTCAACAAACAATTCCGTAAATTGCTTAAATGTGTAAATAACCTAAAAATAAACTACTAAGGAAAAAACATTGTTGTTCTTATAATATCGATTGATCCATTTTGCAGTGTCCTTAAAGCTATTCGCATTATTGCTTTATTTTATTTGTATATTTTTGCAGTTATAAAAAGTTAAATGTAAAGTAGGAAATGAATTAAAAAAGAACCTAAAACAATAAATAAAACAAAAGAGTTACAGAGATGGGCTCTTGTCTCGTAACTTTTTTGTGGTGAACATTTTGATTTTTCTAATTGGATAGATTTAAAATTATTTTAACGAATATTAAATGCCGGAGATAAATTTCGTTTATATGCCTTAATCTTTACCAAATATTTCCTATAAGTAAATGATGGGTCTAGAAGCTGCAAGGACTCGTATGAACGAGTAGGCGTGGATTTGCACAGGTAATTTTCTGTCATAGGAAGTAGTACCCATTGTGAATTGCAAATTTGATTTGAAGAAATTCCGGTGGAAGTAAGTATACTTTTCTAATCAAAATACTGAATAAAGGGGGGGGGGGGGGGGGGGGGGGGGTACCGTTTTATGTGGGTTATAGAAGGACGGGGACCTATATAAGCAAATTTCTGTCAGTGGAAGTAGTTTCCATTACGAACCAAATACCAAATTAGATACTATTACAGTGAAAAATGTGTCACAATTCAACAAAATGCCGAATATAGGGGATGCAGTTATATAGAGGTGCTACCTAAACATGGATCTATATAGACAGTTAATTCCTATATATAGGGAACACAAACTGTCAATTTACAGCAAATTTTTATATGACTAAAATAGAGAAAACACCTTTAATCTGGCGGTACAGTTATATGGGGGGTCATATCAAAATACTGATCTATATGTCCCATTTTCTATTCCCAAAACTTCCCTAAACGGACCTAAAATACATCTCAGCAAAATTGTATCCACCTTCTTCAATTTGTTCGGAAGCTATAGTTATTTCTACAGACAGGCATAGGGACAGACGGACAGAAATCGACATAGAATCTTATGCTGAAACAAGAATACATATACTTGTGGGGTCTAAAATGATTTTTTCAAGGAGTTACAAATGGAATGACAATCTTAATATATCCTCTATACTATATATGATGGAGGATACAAAAATACCTCCATATCTTATATCGATAAGCATATCTTGACGAACTGAATCGATCAACATACCGTATGTCAGTTTGCTTTGCGCAATTAGAAATCGATCACCACGAAATTTATAATGTAGATCGAATTCCAATCAAGATTGACACCAATAGTTTTTCGTGGTGATCTTAGTATATTTAGGTTATGAAATATGTCATTACGCCGATACAAGTAATGTAAATGTCTGTGTATTCAAAATATTCAAAAATACTTATCCTGGTTTAGAAAGCAAACTATCCAATCTCAAAGTGCTTCGCACTGATTCTTACACGACAAACTGTACCGACAAATATAACTTATTTATATGTCAATTTCTGAGTCAGAGCAATGGATATGATTATAGCTGCCATATACGAATTGTGGCCGATTTTAAACCAACATGAAGGCTATAATATACTCCTTCTAATATACTCCTTCTTGTATCTCCCCCACAAAAGGTCAAAGTTTTGAATATCCATGAAACTCATAAACCCGAAATTAACATCAAAGTTGGGCCCGGTTGAACTAACTGTTTTTCCACTTGCTAGTACAAATATTACAATGTACGATTTCTAAATAGAATTTGGGAATATTTGCACATTTTATGGGGGTTGAAATGGCTCAAAATGCTGACCCTTTGTGGGAAAGGTAGCAGAAGGTGTTGTTCGATATATCCCATCTTCACACCTGTCCTTTTATATGTTAATGTATTTGGATTTGCGGGGGAGGTACCAGAACTGAAGTTCCGATATACCCTAGATCGTGTGTTGATAAAAATATGGTGATAGGATTTAATATATCACATTATATAAAAGTTATTATAATTCAAAATTTTGAACCATTGAGGGGGATGTTTTTGATGAAGTAGGCCTATATTTTTTATTTATACCCTACAACACTATGTGTTGGGGGTATTATAAGTTTGATTGGGCCAAAAATTATGTAACAACTCGAAATATTGATTTCCCACATAGGAAAGTATATATGGATCTTCCTAGCTCGCCGAGCTGAGTCGATCTAGCTATGTATGTCCGTCCGTCCGTCTGTCCGTCTGTCCATGTTAATTTGTAATCACGCTACAGGTCGCAATTATGGCCCGATCCTTACGAAATTTTGCACGAAGGTGGGGTTATGGTCAGAATAGAAGCCTATTTCTTTTGGAGATGATCGCCAAATGTTTAGGGTTGAAATGGACCAAATACTGAAAAAATGTCGGATTTTGCAGTACCTATACAGGTCGCAATTATAGACCAATCGAGTTAAGAGTTAAGGGCGGGGAAAAAGCCTACCAATTTAGGTGGTCATCGGATAATATTTAGCGGGTAAAATAGACCATATCTTTTGTGTTGAAAAAATTCAAAATTTTTCATTAAACCGCGAATATTTTTAATCCCGGCGAAATCACAAAGCCATCACAAGGTTACTTCTGATCTTTACATTGATGTTAACATCCAAGAAATCAGATATATAGCAAAATATGTGCGATATATATGTCTATCAAAGAAGATATGCTTGAAAGATCTCTTATATGTCGAGAACGGCTGAACTGATTTCGACAGTTCTCATTAATTCAGAATGGCCTCTTGTTAGGAAAGAAAAAACGTCTAAAAAATCGCATAAAAATATCTATCTAAAGATGAAAATATTGATTTTGTAAAATTTTCTCATATTTTTTCAATTTTGTCATATTTTTGGCATATTTTCATTTTGAATTAAACATTTGGTAATATTTCTACAGCTAACAAAACTAAGTAGTTAGGATATCAGGATATCATATACAAATTGCATTTATGGCCCGATCCTTACGAAATTTTGCATGGAGATAAGATGAGGGTCAGAATATAAGCCTACTCTTTTTGGAGATGATCGCCATATATTTAGCGGTTGAAAGGGACCAACAAAACTGCAAAACTGTCAGCAGGTCGTAATTATCGCCCGATCCTCACGCACATTTTAATGGGTGTTACCGGTCATTGCAAAAGCCAAGCAGTTTTGGATAGCCATCCAAAAATATTCAATGTGTGAAATAGTTTGCCAACTTTTGTAGACAAAATAAGAAAATGTCCATTCCAGTGACTTTTTGGAGAATTCACAAATACTGAAAAGACGCACTTCTGACTATTTCGTTAACGCCGATTTCGTTGAAGAATATAGTCAAATGTCTGTATCTCATTGCCACTTGCCACTTCTGAGAGATTATAGGTCTTTGGGAAATATTGGTTCCAGATCTAGGAAGACCATTTACGTGCAACATCTACAAATAAATTGGAAATAAGCAAATTAGTTTAAGTTGCCATTATTCGAAAATTAGAGAACGGAACCTGATGGTTTTCTTTTATTATTTGTCACAATATCTTGTGGAATTCTTTCGAGTATCTCGCCTATATAAACTGTATCGTTTATTATAGTGTTGTAGGGTATTCAACGGTCGGCCCCGCTCGACTGTAGCTTTTGCTTACTTGTTTTTGTACTGACTTAGAGCTGTTGTGAGGGAGGTTCTAAAAGGAAGGAGGTTCTAAAAGGAGGGCACCTTACTAAAACGTGGACCAATCTTCTAGAGGGTAAAGTACTCACAAGGAACTCCTTCATTGTAAGACGATCCCAGTGAAAAATTTGGCTGAAATCATCAAACTACCTAATATAGGGAGGTACCCTTATATTGGGAATATTTCAGGGGTTAAATAACTCATAAAGAATTCCTTGTGTAGAATTTCAGACAATTCCATTGAAAAATGTGGCTAAAATCATGAAAATACCGAATATTGGGGGTACCGGGTATATAGGGGCTATACAATATCGTGGACCGATATAACCCATCTTCGAACTTGACTTGCCTGCAGACAAAAGACAGATATGTGCAAAATTTTAGCTTGCTATCTTAATTCGTTTTGACTCTAGCGTGATAACAACAGACGGTCGGATAGGGCTAAATCGTCTTCGAATTTAACGCCGATCAAGAATATATATACTTTGTTGGGTCTAAAGTTGTTATTTCGATGAGTTACCAACGGAATATATGGTGGAGGGTATAAAAATTTGGTAATACAGGTTTTGAAATAGTCTAATAGTTCAAAATATTGGTGATGTATATTCTCCAGAAATATTTGGCAAAGGCTATCATATTGTTTCATATACCTCCGATTTAAGGAGTAGAATTAATTTTTATTAAATCAACAAAGATAAGAAACAAATAAGGGAACAACTATAGAAATATATGTTAATATGCAATTTAATTAAAGATTAGACAGTTAATAGCTTCAAGATAGTTCAACAAATATTCTAAGGCCTTTAAAAGGAATAATAAGCGGACTTAACTATTTCTCTCGGTGTATGCTTTTAAATTTTGACTTCAAATCCTACACACTTTGTTTGTTTAATAAAAATTGTTTAAGAACATAACTATTACTACTTGAATCCAATTGCTCAATGGAAAACCTTATGCAATATTTAGACAAAAAATGGAAACGAACGAAACAAATGACTTTGCTACGCTACACACATACTTACACATATGTTTTTTTTGGTTCGTATGTATATGGAAAACTCATTTGCTTATATATCTACATATGTAAATCTTTGTATTTTTTTAGTTGGGAGATTTGCTTGTTCAGTTTAGTCGGAATTAGTAGTTTGACTTTTTTGTTCTTTTTTTTCTTTGTTTTTTTTTTTTTTTTTTGTACAATCATTTTAAAAATGATTTCTAAATCTATGTTTTATTTATTTTCATTTTTATTTCACTTAAAACTAGACAGGAATTTATTGTTAATTGTTGTTGCTATTGGTATTTTCATTTGTTTGCTTGTTTGTTTGTTGGTTGTTCATCATAAGTTTATCGTTTGTTTGTTTCTTGTTGCTCTCTTCTTGGTTGTTTGAATAATGAATTGGTATTTGATTTTTATATTGAATTGATCCTCGTTTTGTTTTGATTGAATTATAACTTTTCAATTTTGTTCGTGTGTGGGTGAGTGTTTGTGTTGTTGTTTTTTTCGTGTTAAGCTTCCTTAATAGCTAACATGTTAAAATCACATTCAAAAAGTTGTTTGCTTAATATAATATTTCTTGTTTGGTTTTTTTCCTTCTTGTTATTCATAAAATTTTTAATTTATTTGAGGTGAGACACATTTATTTTGGGTTTAAACACGCGTTATGTCATAATTGAAATGAATAAAGGCATTGTTGTTGTTCTTGTAGGGGTTTTTAGTTATGTTTCTTCTTTGTGGGAGTTCATGTTATTTTTGTTGTGTTTAAAGATTGTCCATTATAATCAGCCTTGGGCGCCTTTAATTCGCAATTTATTTACAAAATTTACCTTTACAGTTTGCGTTAATGTTTTTTTTTTCCATGAGGAGCAATTTCCTAGCACAGGATATGATAAGGGAGCTGAAATGAAAAAAAAAATGAAAATAATAATGAGATTTTTTGGAACATGTTCATTAATTTTTCATAATAATAATTTTATTCATTAAAGAAAATCACAAGGGTTATGTTCAAAAACATTTTGACTAGGAAAAATAGGATTCCGTCCATTGAATTCAAATCCATTAAAGAGAAAATGTAAGTTTTTTAATTGTTGTTATATATGAATGTGCGCTGCTTAAAGAGTTGGTACAAAAAAAATCCATTGCAAAACAAGAGATCTATTATTGAATAAAATACTAAGATGTCCTCAGGAAGAAGAAAATCGCTCACTAATTTCACATTTAACTATTCTTTGAAGCTTTAACAAAACCGGATAAACTATCACCTTATTTGAGACTAGCAAGAGCTCGCTTCTTCGTCAGCGAAAATTTCACCTCAAAATTTTATATTCGTTCTAACAATTCGTGTTAGACCTTTTTAGGTACTCATAATGTACAATTTGTTCAATTTGATAAATTCTTTAATCAAATATCATACATCGTACTAAGTTTTTTTAAGGTTTTATTTATTATTCAAGTTTTTTCCTTGTTCGGGAGTAGTAGGAAAATGTTTCCTTTTTCATCAAAACGTCTTCAAAATCCTTTATTTTAAAGCTTACAAGGAGGTTGTTAGTAAAATCCACATCCAAATTTTCTGTCAAAAACTGTTTTAACGTCTCCATATGTAAAACCTAGACACAAACAGTGACCTAAATATCAATTTTCAGATTTTCACCTCTATATCCTCACCTTATTCCAAATGTAGTACCATTTACCAACATACACAACACAACAGTGATCCAAAATTAGTACCATTTAGTACTTTTCGTAGGCATGTGCAAAATCACCAACAGATCTCACAGATCTCAATACCAGATATCAAAAGAGACCTGAATATCAAATTTCGGAATTCCACTTTTATATCTTTACCCAATATCCAATTTAGCAGCATTTAGTACTTTTCGTATAAATTTAGTACTCAATAGTAAAACCGTTGCATGTCTCAACTATGGTCACCAACAGTTATAGCAATATAAAATTTCACGATTTCAGCTCTATCACTTTACTACACTTACCCTTTATAGCACGCAACCTTACCTTAATATCAATTATATTATTGCGATGTTCTTGATTGGCCAATAATGAACAATTCATTCGCATTCTTTGATTATTATTTTGCGTGATATGAAAGTCATTATATAAAATATTGGTCTTTTCTTGGACGCTATCAGAAAGACTGAACCTTAAAAAAATGCACCTTCTATTATGGTGGAGGGTATACCATATATATGGAGGATATATTAAATTCGTCATTCCGTTTGTAACTCATCGAAATAATAATTTTAGACCCAACAAATTCTTGATCAGCGTAAAATTCTAAGACGATTTAGCCCTCTCCGCCCGTTTGTCTGTCCACGATATCGTATAGCCCCCATATATACCCCCGATATTCGGTATTTTGTTTATTTTAGCCACATTTTTTAATGAAATTGTCTGAAATTCTACAGAAGGAGTTTTTTGTAAGTACTTTACCCCCTGAAACAAAAATTTCTGTATAGATATTTCAACGGAACTGTCTGAAAATCCACACAAGGAGTTCCTTCTATAAGTCCACGATATCGTATAGCCCCGGTATTCGGTATTTGTATGATTTTACACAATTTAAACGGAATTGTCTGAAAACTCACACAAAGAGCTCCTTGTGTATTCTTTATACCTAGGAAGAGAACTATCTTTATAGGTCCCTGATAGCGCATACCCCCATATAACGGTACGCCCGTATATTCGGTAATTTGATGATTTTAGATACATTTTTCAACGGAATTGTCTTGAAATTCACACAAGGAGTTCCTTGTGAGTACTTTGTACCCTGGAAGAGAATTACATATATGGGACCACAATCTCGTATATTCCCCTAATAACGGTACCTTTTATGATTTTAGCCAAATTTTTCCACGGAATTGGCTTAAAATTCACACAAGGGGTTCCTTCTGGTTACTTTACCCCTTAGAAGAGAATTGCCTAAATAGGTCCATGTATTAGTATAGCGCCCATATAACGGTACCCCCAGATATTCGGTATTTTCATGATTTTTGCGACATTATTCACCGGAGTTGTTTCAAATTTCGTATATAAAGTTCGGAACCGTTACTACTATCTATGACACAAATTATTTATGCAAATTACTTCGTATAGCTCCATATATCGGTATTCATTTGAACGGCGTTTTCCAACGGATTTTTTTTTTTTTTGAAATTTTTTATGTTTCTTCCAAATGATGGAGGGTATAAAATGTTCGGCCCGACCGAACTTAGCTGCCTTTTCACTTGTTTCTATTTGATCCGTTAACCTAAAATATGAACTTTTATGGCATAGAGACGTTACCTCTACACAAATATATATAGGGGAGCTGTATCGAAATTTGATCCAATCATGCAAAATGAACTCAAAATTTTGTTCATCAATTGAACCATAAATGTGCCTTGTACATCGATTTCAAACCCTGCTCCATAAACATTATTATTTTAAATATCGCTCAGGGGGCACGTGGTAATATTATCCGATCGACGTTTAGTTTCACACTTAAAATTTTTGGATAGAATGAAAAAAATGGTGAGGGTTTGTTTTTTTGGGACACCCTAATACCACGTTTTGCTGCTGCACATTTTTCAGTCGGTGAACGCTCCAATAGACATTGCTCTAAATCATGTTCATTTCATACTAACAATTTTATTTGGGTCATTATTTCAACAATGCTATGTGCATTTTCCCCCATCAAAATTGATCATACACACACACACACAATAAAACAGAATCCTCCTTTTGCAGATAATAATTCATATTATACATACTTTCAAAACTAAAATATTTCCACAGAGAAAGCTTAGTTAACAAAAACAGAAAAAAAAAAACTAAATACTAAGTCACTTACCGCATTTAACATCACGCACAACTCGTATATTCCGCCACAATTGCAACACTGGGCTCCGGGCCCCTTTTCTGCTAGGATCATATGTTCGCGTTACGCCGTTTACACCGATTGGCCACATACTTCTTGCCGAACAACAAACGCTGGAAGGCACGTCGAAACTCTGGATTGAAAATGGTATAAATGATGGGATTTAGCGTGGAATTAAAATAGCCAAGCCATAGGAAGAGCGATGCGACAGCAGCATTAATTTCACAACTTTTGCACAGCGACAGTGTCAGAGCCATCACGAAGAAGGGCAGCCAGCAGACAACAAAGGCGCCCGTTATGATTGCCAGTGTTTGGGCTGCCTTTCGTTCGCGCTTCGCCTCAATTTGCTGACGTCGTTTGGCTAGCTTTTGGTGGGGATTCGCTCCAAGCAAATGTTGTTGCTGTTGTTTGTTGTTGCTGCCGCCACCGCCTCCGCCGCCACACACGGTGAGGCGGGGCGTTGCAGTGGTCAGCACAATTGCCGTGACATGCTGCTGAAATGTTGATGTTGTGGCAGCAACCTGCTGCGACACAGTTGAAATCTCCAGAGGCAGGGGTACACGCTGTCATGCGATTTTGATGAAAGGTTAAGGCATGGCGGAAATGACAGAGAAAAACGAAAAGAAAGAAAACATTTTTGTTACAACGAAAAATTTAATCTATTTCCGCTTTGTCTTTTGCTATTTAAATGCTGCCGGATGCATGGAGCGAAGAATGAGGATGCTTTTATCCATCTCCTTGCGATTTACTTACTTCATCGGCATTCGTGGTTGTCATCTCGTCCGAGACATTTGTCAGCTCTGTTCCTGCATGGCTTTTGTCCTCAATATTGCTGGTGCTGAATTCTGTTTCTTCTCTGATGTTGGCATTGGAGCCACCGGCATAGTTGTCGCCAGTCGACGAACTGAAACCTTTGTCCGATGATATATCCTTGCTGAAGCAGATTTTTATGCGCTTCTTTTTCACTTTGTCCTGGAAATCCTGCAAGAAAACAATGATGACCATGAAATGGTTTGATGTTGAAAAATAATGGATTAAATTTACATGTTTTGCCATTCGGCAAATGGAAGAATGAAAACTTTCTCTTTATTAAATTTAAAACACTTTTATTCTTTAGTTAACAATAGCAAAACAATTTATTGTTCAAATCGTTCTAATCTAATAAACAGAGAATATGTTTTTTTTTTTTCTTATTTTCGACCAGAAGAAGTTTGTCCTTCCTTTGCCAATTTCTTTCATTTATTTCATCATTTCGTTGTAATAAACAAAACTTGGACAAATATTTGTACATGTCTGTGTATGTGTTTGTGTGCATTCTTACAACTATTCGCCCTTATTTTTAGACGGCTGACATATTGCCTGCAGATATTTACGCTGAACAAATGTTTTCTATAAAACTATAAAAGCAAACAAAGTTCAGTTTGAGCTTCTTGGAAGAATAGTTTCTGAATAATAATAGCGAACAAAAATGGATTAAATTTTAAATAAAATTTAAATAGTCTATGCATTGAGGGTATTTTAAGTTTGATTGAGCCAAAAATTAAGTAACACCTCTAAATGTTGGTCCTGCACATCTTCCTATCTCGCCGGGCTGAGTCGATTAATCTATGAATGTCCTTTCATTCGTCTTTCCGTCTGTCTATGTTAGTTTGTAATCGCGCTATCATCGCAATTATGTTCCGATCCTCACGAAATTTAACATGGTGGTGGGGTTAGGGTCAGAATAGAAGCCTATTTTTGGATGCCTTTTGGAATCATATTTAGCTGATGAAATGAACACAATTATGTGTGAAAAAATGCCAAAATGACTGAAATCAGAAATACAACTTCTGACCTATCCATAGAGACTGATTTCATTGACGAATAATGCCAAATATTGGAGTTACAGGAAATCATTAAGAGAATCAAATAAAATATTTTACTGGATAGAAAGAGAAAAGATTATCCAATTTTGCTCCAACTTAACAAATCATAATATTTAATATTTCTGTCAACACATGATCGATTATAAAGGTGGTAGAGATTGGAAAATTCCTTGTGGTACTTCCCCCACAAAGGGTGAAAATGTTTAATAACCAAACATTATAAAATCCCAAATAAGCTTCCGGCTCTATTCATATTTCACACATCTCATTATTTGTACTAACTAAGATCTGCTCTGAAGATGAGATATATCGGTCCATTTCTTCTGGTACCTCCTCCACAAAGGGTCAAAACTTGAATATCCATGAAGCTCATAAAAAGCGAAATTAACATCCGATTCCATTCAAGACTTGGTACATCTTTATATTTCCATCAATACAAGACTGTTATAAAGTGGTACAGATTGGACCATTTCTTTTGCTACCTGCCCCACATAGGGTTCACGATTTTGGAAAACAACACGCTCAAAGAATGCGAAATAAACATTCAACGCTCTTCAAATTTCACACATACAAACATTTGTGATAACAGAAGAAGATGATATATATCTGCGAACCCCTTCTGATACCTCACCCACAAAGGATTTCTTTCTATTATCTTTGTTCTATAAGGATACCTTTATATCTTTTAGTAACCCAACAAAGAGTTTTCTAGACGGCTAAAACGTGCTCATCAAAATAACGGTATGTTTGGACGAAATCCGTTGCAGGATATTCGGAGTCGAGGAAATCGAACTTTTATATCCAATTTTATGCGAAATCATATTTTTCAGATTTCTGGTTAAGAGAAATATTTAGTTATACTCGTAGCAAGTTGTAAAGAATCGCCGACATGTTTCGCAAGTTATGACAGATATAAGTATTGGAAATTGTGAGCCTTTGTGGCTGAGGTACCCGAAGGGGTTGGCAGATATTTATCATCTTCACAACAGATTTTGCGTTATCAGAAATGTTTGTATGTATGACATTTGAGGAGAATTGTTTGATTATCTCGCCTTCTTTGAGCGTTTTGCTTTTCAAAAATCGTCCACCCTATGTAGGGGATGTAGCAGAAGACATGTCCGATCTGTACCATCTCTATAACAGATTTTGTCTTGATAGAAATATTGAGATGTGCCATGTCTGAGTGGAATCGGATGTGAATTTCACCTTTTATGAGCTTATTGAATATTCAAAAATTTGACCATTGTGATTGAGGTACCAAAAGGAGTGGACTGATATATCCCAATTTCACACCAGACCTTAGGTTAATAAAAATATTGTGATGTGTGTAATATGAAGAGAACCGGATGCTTACTTCGGATTTTATGATCGTATTGGTTATTCAAAACTTTGACCCTTTGTGGGGGTGATACCAAAATGAATTTTCCGATTTTCCCATCTTGATACCAAATCTTGTGTTTATGGAAATATTGAGATTTCTCGTTGTTAATTTCACGTTTTATAAGTTTCATGAATATTCAAAATTTTGAACCTTTATGGGGGAGGTACCGGAAGATGTGAACCGATATACATATTCCATTTTCACACCAGACCTTGGGTTAATAAAAATATTGGTATTTGTGTAGTTTGAAGATAATCGAAATTTCGACCCTTTGTGGGGGAGGTACTTGATGGAGTGGGCCGATATAGTCCACTTTCGCACCTGAGCTAGCACTGATGCAAGTATTAGGATATGCAAAATAGGAGCAATATCGGATAATCCTATCTCTTTCTGTGCAATAAATTATTTTCTTCGAAAATATTGACATTTTGTGTGGGAGGTACCAGAAGGAGTGGACCGATATTGCCTATTTCCGAACTCGATCTGAGTTTGACAATAATATTACGATGTACCAAGATTTGATCAAATCTCATACTCTCTTTGAGAGTTATCGTACGCACCAGCCAGCCAGACAGACAGACAGTCGGACGGATGGACATTGCTAGATCCAGTCCAAATGTCCTGAAACAGATTTGACCTAGGGTTTAAAACCGTTATTTCGATGAAGCACGTTTTGACCGTATTAAATGATATATACCCTCTCTAGCCATATGGCTGAGGGTATAATAACCTTCTTTGCAATTCGTTTCATATTCCAAACGAAATAGCAACTCATAAATTGTGTTTCACATTTCCATCTCTTCGGAAATTGTTTGCAATTTTAAGCGATTTGTCCACTTTGAACTTTTATCAGAACAATTAAAAAATAAACTGTTATGCAAATATGTAAATACATAAGAGCATTTAAAAATTCATTTTAAATGGCGATGTAAAAAGCAATTGAAAACATATTCTCTCCCTCTGTCACCGGATTCAATGAAAATTCAATTAAAAATTTCTAAAGAAAAGAAATTATTCATATTTATTGAGAATTACAAACAATTTGGCTACCATCGCAACAATCAACACACAATTGTAGTACACTGCGGATAGAGAGAGAGAGAGAGAGAGAGAGAGAGAGAGAGAGAGAGAGAAAAGAAAAGAGTATTGATTCTGAACAATGAAATTGAAGAAAGCGAATCAAAATCAATGGCAATGGCAATATCCATAAGGATACAATTCATCGAAATGTGAGCGAGTAATTGAAATATCCAAGGGGTTTTCGTTTTCTATGGATTCTCCTCAAATATTGACATAAATACACTGAACAAAACGAAATTGTGAGAAGAAACGGAACAAACAAGAACATCGCGTGAATGTTTAACATCCTTTTGGGCAACCATCTAAGGCTACAATTCAAGAGAAATATAAAAATTAAATGAATTATACAAATTAGCTTTAGAGCTAATATGAGAAAAACTTTTTATTGCATTGTTATATCTTAAAGTGGAAGGAGTTGTATTTTAATATAATTAAAAAAATAAAAAAGCAGCAAAATTTACTTTTAAATTTTTTTGAATATCTATACCATATCTATTTTGATAAAACTTAGGTCTCATTAATAAAAGTCTAATTGGGGCTTTTTTCAAAAACTTCTTTTGATCGGAAAGGTAATTCATATTAATAAAAGAGTAAAGTAATTATCTGATTGACTGACTGACTTAACAATTCATCAACGCTCAGACAAAATGGCTTAAGCTAGAATCTTGAAGTTTTTGGTAAGGGTCACTCTTGATCCAAAGGGGTCAGATAAGGCTGGGGTTTTGGAAAACCCTGAATTTTAAAACTAACATTATTGGCAGAGTGTTAGATTGGGATATGGAGGAAGTTTTCGTAATTTGTACTTATATGCACGAAAAGTTATAACTAAATTTGGCACAATTTAGGATTTGGGTTGGAGTACTGAAATTTGTAAATAATTTTACTATTGCATCCTAGGACTGGGGAATGTAGGTAATTTTGAAAAATCCTACTTATGTCTATATAGTACAATTCAAATTTAAGGAGAACCAATAGAGTTGGAATTCCAAAATGTGGAAATAAGATTAGTATTGAATTTTACGACTGAATTTGGTACAATTTAAATTTTGGGTGAACATAAAAGAGTAGTGACACACTGACCGAGCCGTCAGCCGTAGACGAAACGAAAAGTACTAAAATGTATTAAAAATTGAATATTTTATGTCGGACAAACGGACTAGAATTCTGAATTTTGGACAGATGTACCAAAGGGTATTTGAATTCGAACTTTAAAGTTGCGCCAAGTTCTAAAATGATACCAAACTTCTAGAATAGTACAATTTGTTATTATGTGAACGGAGAGAGCTAAAAACTTGAAATTCGGTATGAGAATCAAGGTAAGTTTTATGCATAAATATGGTTTTGGAATGTGTACTAAATGTGCGAATTGTACTAAATGATACTAAATTTGCAACAGTTTGGTTTAGCGTGAATGGTGGTTTTGGAAATGTCAACTGCAAGTGCGTAAAATGTACTAAATAGTACTATATTTGGTACAATTTGGTATTGGGTGAATATATAGTGCTTGAAATCTGAAATTTAGTATTAGGGTCGTTGTTTATGTGTAGTCCGGACATAAGAAGATTATTTCAGAACTGGAGAGACTGAAAAACAATTTTGAAATTTAATATTTAGATAACTCTTGGTAAATCTATTTTAGATTTGGCGGTGATTTT